ACGTTTGAGTGTACCTTTTCTTGGATTGTTTCTTCTGGGGATGAGGAGGAGGAGAATCCATTGAAGATAAATCAGAAAATTGATCATCCTCGGATTTTGGTTTATCGGATAAGACTGATATGGCATTAGAAAAACAATCGACGATCGATTTGGCAAGATCATAACTAGAAACTGATCCACTATCAGCCATTGGATCATCAAGCCGCATCTTCAACCGCATAGCGCAGCTATGGCCATAAAGGATAGCTTTCACTGCCTTTTCGTGTGGGGAATTCATTTTCATAGAGTAGAGTGAACTTGTAAGTGTTTTTGGCAGGTTTTCTTTCTCTCAAGTCTCTTCTCTCTGGTTTAAAATTTGAATGGATAGGGAGATATAGACATATATAGGTAAAGTCCGCAAGTTGTATATCATTACCGAAAGAAGGAATAGAGAAAAAAAATGATTGATTAGAAGGTATTAGGAAAGTACAACATGGTATATTCTAATCATATTATGCAATTAAACCAATTTGATTTTGCCAGTTATAGACCAAGTTTTGGATTCCCAATTAAGATATTTTTTTTTGACGTAAGACATTAATATTTATACATACACTAGGGTATATTTTAACATAAAATAGAAAAAACAATTGGCATTTAGGGCATGTGCGGGGCACCAATGGGACTAGAGAAATTGAAAGAAAACTTAGGTGTTGACTTTACCTTATGATCTGTCATGTAATATAAAACAGGGTTTCGTTTTGTATAATTTTCCTTTTTACGCGGTTCACTTAATTATTATTATTACAGAATTTGTTTTTAGCTAAGTCTATTAGAATACTTAATGCTTCGCCATGTTTAAAAAGACATGAAGAATCTAGCAGAAAATTGTGTTTTTACAGAAACTTTGTGAAAGGTAAGAGACACTTAAGAGTTAGGAATTTGGATAAACCCGAAATTTTATGTTTTCGAGACTCTCTTTTGCACTTGCTCTTCTTTTTTTTTTTTTAAATATTTCGGATTCTTTTTCTATATATTGGATGTTTAAATTTGTTTTAAATCTTCTTATAAGATTTAAATAGATTTCGTCAAAGTAGTTCAGCCATAATATATCATCAAATTTCAATTTCACTATCATTTGAAATTTTGAATCAGTATAACAATCTAAATTACACATCACGTAATAGTTAGGTGCTTAGGTCTGAAACAAAAACGTGGAAAATATGTTTTCGTTCATTTTAGTTTTTTTACCAATTGTCGTTTAATATGATCATTTTAATTGTTACGTGGTGTAATATTCCATTAAAATGTAAGGCTTCTAGACACACAGATGATGATATCTTTAATTCAGTCTTAATTCTTTATACATAAAGAGAGTAATAATTGGCGTATAGTAGCTGGCAAGTGGCGTTGATTCCGGCGAACATCGACGTTAGCAAACAATGACATTGTCTTACCGAAGCTGCTGACTTCAGCAGATTGACGTCAGGACAAACTTATAATTTTACTACTAATAACAACTAGTCAACTATGCCGTGGGATTTATTTAGTCGGTCCATATCTTTATTGTTTA